ATATCTTTGTACTTTCCCATTTGGTCCTCTTCGTGTTCTGCAGGCATTCATGTTAGTATCATTTAATTTGATATGCCTACCATTTCTCACATAGGGAAAATGAATGCCTACCATTTCTCACTTACCTAAACACACAGACATCCTTTCCATTGTATAGTAGGAAAAAAGGAAACAACAATGGCTAGAATTACTGCTTTCTCAATGATATGTAATTACAACTGTTGAGATACATTAGATTTAGATTAGTGGCTTGATGATTGATAAATGAATCCCTTGCCTATCATTAACTCAATCTGTCATGGTGAATCTATTTGTTTGTTTGTTTCAAATGATTACAAATCAATTCTTGCCAGAGGGGTGTGTGTGTGTGTGTGTGTGTGTGTGGAGAGAAACACCTGTGGGTGAAAAGAATTGAACAGAGGCCATAAATATTGGTCGGTCAATCTCATCTGGAGTTAACAGCAATGAAGTTGAGCGAGATGTTAATGAAGTCAATGGAAATGCAGTAGGCCAAGTCTTGAGGCAGACAACAGTGCTTTTAAAAAGAGAGAGATTAAAGTGGTTTATACATTGCCCTCATTTTGTTGGCTCTGGACAAACAGCTTGTATGAAGTTTAAACTTTTAACACAGGACCCTTATACTAGGTCACAGCATTGGTCCTTCTAGCCAATGGGAATTTTTTGGCTATTGTGGTGGTTGCTGTTTTTTACTCTATATTTTGGATTTAGTTAGGAACTAGTAGGTCAACAGAAGGTGTAGCCAGAACCAATGACAAGCAGAGTCAAAGCCAAAGATGGGAGGAGCCAACAAATTTTAGTTTTGTCCACATCTTTGTCCCTCCTGAATTCTATAAGGGCAGCATTATGGTTAAGGAGGAGAAATCCATACTTAAGTCAGTCTTGAACCTATGTGAGGTTGTCAGGTGGAGGTTCAGCTCGTGCACTGCTATCTGCTGGAGTAGGCATAGGCAAATTTGGCCCTCCAGATGCTTTGGGACTACAATTCCCATCATCCCTGACCACTGGTCCTGTTAGCTAGGGATCATGGGAGTCGTAGTCCCAAAACATCTGGAGGGCTGAGTTTGCCTAGGCCTGTGCTGGAGAAAGAGCAGGGAGATTGACCAGACCAGTGAGAAAAACTCTTACGAGAGCCCGTGTTTTGGAAATTAGAGTGTTGGACTGGAGACTGGGAGACGAGGGTCTAAATCCCCACCCACCTATGAAGCTCACTGGGTGACCTTGGGCCAGTTGCGTTCCTGCAGCCTAACCAACCTCACAGGGCTTTGGTGAGGATAAAATTGCGCTGGGCCGGGAGAGAAACATGTATGCCTTGTTGAGATCCTTGGAGGAAAGGTGGGGTATAAATGTGGTATGAGATACCATATTTTTCGCTCTATAAGACGCACATTTTTCCCTCCCAAAATTAAGGGGAAATGTGTGTGCGTCTTATGGAGCGAATGCAGGCTCCTTGGCTTCAGCGATAGCAACGCGAAGCCTCCAAAGTGCAGTGGGAGCGCTCCCACCGCACTCCGGAGGCTTCGCGTAGCTTTTGCTGAAGCCTGGCGAGCGAAAGGGGTCTGTGTGCTTCAAAGATAGCCGCCTGAAGCCTCTGGAGCACAGCGGGAGTTCCCGCTGTGCTCCAGAGGCTTCGGGTTCCTTTCGCTGAAGGATAGGTGCCCCTTCAGCTAAGGTGCAGCGCCCCTTCAGCCAAGCGGGAGGAGAAATGGAAGGGGCTCCGTTTCTCCTGCCGCTTCACTGAAGGGGCGCTGGGCAGATAGGGGGAGATTTTTTTTTCCAGGCAGCTATCTGGAGAGCGAGAGGGGTCGGTGTGCACCGGCCCCTCTCGCTCTCCAGATAGCCTCGGGTTCCTTTCGCCTTCGGGTTCCTTTCACTGAAACCAGGAGAGTCTTGCTCTCCAGGCTTCAGTGAAAGGAACCCGAGGCTATCTGGAGAGCGAGAGGGGTCGGTTCCTTGTTCTCCCCCTCTAAAACAAGGTGCGTCCTATGGTCCTAAAACAAGATGTGTGCTATAGAGTGAAAAATACGGTAAATAAAGATCAAGAAGTAGCAGCAGTAGGCCAGAGGTTGTCAGGAGATACAGCCAGATTCTTTTGAAGTCACCCAAGCTCACCCTGAGTAGCTTTTCAGCTTGATAATCTCTTCCTCCCTATGTTTTGTTTCATTTCACCTCTGTCTTGTTCTGCCTCCACCTCGCCAGCCGTTTGATCCAACATTTGTGACCTCAGGGCAATTTTCATCTTCAATTACTCTCTTTGCTATAACGTGAATATAATCCAAGTGATTTGTGGTGTTCAGGTCCATAGTGAAAAAGGCATTACATGGAATTGCTCTTGTTACCATGGGAGTGAAAGGGTCCTGTTTTCAATGGTGATTCTACTTCTGGTCAGGATGCCAATTTGTCTCTTCCAAACAGTGTTATTTAAGCAGTTCTTCCCTGAAAACTTGTTAAAAATGCTGTGGTCCAACATGACACCTTGGTGAATCCTTTGGGGTTACTTCTGTGCCACTTGGCTTAGCAAAGCTGCCATGACATGAAAACTATATATATATATATTTCTATTATTTATAAGATTTTGGTAAGAGAAATTAAGAATTTATGTTGTTGTGAAAAACAGGACTTCAAGTCAGTAGGTTGTATCTGCCAACTTTAAAATGATTTTTACACTCATCAACATTTTTTCTTGTTATTACATTAGTTGCAAAAATCCTGCAAGTAGCCGTTTTCTGAATGTTGAAAATTTCAGAATATCAAAAACATGAGCACCATAGCCAGTAATTACAATCAAGTCAAGCGCTGAAAAATAATCCCAGGTAGCAGAGGATTTTATGCTAATAAGAGTACTTGAAGCAGTCCTTTCAGGTTAAAAACAGTGATATTACAGGCAAGTATCCAAAGGAAAGCCAGCAGAATAGTGTAAGAGAACTAGTCATCAACAAAGAAAAGCTGTGCCTCTGTCTGCAAGTCCATCTATCCAAAACCCACAGAATTTGTGCTCCTGTAAATGCTAGATTTAGAATTCACTAGGGACATGCAATGCGCCTTGCCTGCTGAGCAAATTTTCTAGCCTTATCTTATCATAGCTCTTTGTTGTTGCTTTTTAGGTTAGTATAGTTCACTTATTATTTGTGCTCTGCTTATCTATTCAAACAATAGCTGAAACAAGCTTACAATAAAAAATAATATAAAACTGTCGTATCTTGAACAGAGGAATAGCGGGAGACTTTTACTAACAGAAAAAAGGCTGTTTTGAAAAGAGCTGCCTTTACAAGCTTATCTGACACGTTTTAACAAGTGAAGCTCCAGATAGTTATGTCCACCATCTTTTGTTTTCCAGAATGCTGTGCCTCTGGTCCCAAGTGGGGTTGAGGGAAACAAAGATGGTAGCTCAACAACTTTCAGGGTCTCCTGCTTTTTACTTTTTGAAATATGGCAACCCTATTTAGAACAGGCAATACAAGCTCATCTGCCATCTTCTATATTGAATCTGCCTGGCTCTGCAGGTGCCTAGAATGGATGTATGCAAAGCAGAAACTGCCCTGGTGACTCCTAGAACACATCACAAGGAGGAAAACAAAATAAAACCTCCACATAATATATCATTTAAAATGATAGTTAAAACATCCAAAGACAGTGGTAGGAAAACTTCAGCAAAACATCATGAAAAGTAACAGAGGTTAACGGCTAAGGTTAAGTAACAGAGATTAAAGGCTAGGTTTTTTGTGGGGAGGGAAGGATATTTATCATCTGCTGAAAGATGATCAGATATGGGCATGACATCCTGCTTTGCCTCTGAGATCACCACAGACTCTTCATTTTCACACTTCCTAGGCACATTAGATGGGACTTCACAATTATTTTTGGGTCAAGGCTTAGAGTTGAGAGATTTGTCCTGGCTGAAATGAAGATGCTGGTTTGAAAGCAGAGAGGCTTTTGGAGAGAGAGAGAGAGAGAGAGAGAGAGAGAGAGAGAGAGAGAGAGAGATGAGCTAGAAAACTAATGGAGGAAAACAAAACAAATTCTTAATGCAAGGTTTTGTTCCCTGGATTGCTTGTTCTGCCCCAATAATGCACAGTCTGCATGGCGTTAAATTGTACTGTCATATGTTTTGCTTCATTGTGATTGTGTGTGTAATTTTGCATGTTCAGACCCAGAGACCTCCCTCCTAAATAAAGACACATTTGACTCAAATTTTAGTTTTGGTTTTTGGCAGAATTTATGCCACAACTTTATTGATTACAGAAAAGTGTGTGGTTGCATAGGCTCTGGTTCGACTAGCTCCCTGCCATGCAGATAGCGCTGACCCAGAACTCTATCATAGGTCAGCCAAAGGGGAACACCTGAGGAAGGTGAAAAGCCTGGGAGCAGACTCTATTCACTCCCCAGATGCTCCCCTGGACTCAGGCACGGGCACAACCCCTTTCCGGGGGTTGGCCAAACCAAGTTGAGTCCCTGGATTCCTTTAATGGAGTACCCTTCACATAGGGATGGCAAGACCATTCTTCCATCCCTATCACATGAACCAGTGCCTATCCACAACTTTACAAGTTGTGATGAATTGCTACATGGCAGGCAAAACCCAAATGGCAACAGCCAATCAGCCAAGTGGGAAAATTCCTGCCCTGCCCCTGTCCCAACGACAGACGACACACGATGGCATAGCAAGGTCAATTGCAAACGGCCCTAAAATTAGGGAGAGGTGGGCGGGTGTTCCGATGCATAAGCCGAAAAAGGGAGCTTTGGGTCATGTGCATGGGTTTATATAGATCCGTTTAGACTGCAACCCCATTGGCCAGATTAAAACCCAGCATCGAGGGACCTACCAATCGGGTGTTGTGGCTATCCAATGGACCCACCCACAACCAAGAGGTCAGTCTTCAGATCTCACCACAACACATGCCCTCTTTTAGGGAGGAAACTATTTTAGCTTTTCTCAATAAACAAAAGTTTCTGTTGAAGATACAGAAGTTCTGTATCTTGAAGCTAGGACGTACATAGCTCAGTTGATAGAAAATGAGACTCTTAATTGCAGGGTTGTGGGTCCGAGCCCCACATTTAGCAAAACATTCTTGCATTGCAGGGGAGCTGGACCCCTAGATGACCCTTGTGGTCCCTTCCAACTTTGTGATTCTAAGTTTTAGGGGTGGGAAGAGAGAGACCATGGTATATGAAGAAATGTTTTTTAACCAAGTTTGATCATACTTCTGTAACTAAAAGCTGAGTTCAATTGCTAAGGTAAGATCAATAGCGAAACTCAGTTAAAAATATTTCTTCCTCAAAGCTGAAATTAGCTGTCAGTGTTGTGAATAACTTGTGTATAGACATAAAAGCAGGTGCTATAGTGGTAAAATGTTACCACCATTGAAACTAGTGTGACTATATTATGCACTAGAATATATGAGTTAGGGTTAGGGAAAGGATCTTTCAAGGAAATTTGCAGTGGTCTATTTTTTCCTGTTTCTCATGGCCTATTCTTTCAGTCAAGTCTACATTGTGCAACAGGTCAGATTCTTGTGCAATGTATAGGTTTCTTCTCCTTCTTCTAGAATGCTGGGATTCTTTGCTTTATAGAAAAACGAGGGGTTTCTGAGCTAAAGGACATAATCAACAATGCATTGCTGAAGATCTAAATATTGACAGGTTCACTGTGCCTTCAGCATGTGGTGCCACACTCCAATACACAAGATGCAATGCTGAATTTTGTCTAAGTCCATTTGCCCTTCTCAGGCTTTGCGGGCAGGCACCGGGTCTCCCCTGTGAACTGGCCTATAGCAGGCCGGATTGTCTTCCTGACACTGATTGGTCCAATGGCGGCAGGAATTCAGGGAGCATTCCCCTGGGTGTGCTGCCCATCTTCCAGAGGAAGATTAAATATCTGGGCTGCGGCGCCTTTCAGCCTCATGCTCGCTGCACCGGTTCTCCTACCCACCTTCCCTTAGTTCAGGGTTTGTTTGGGGTTTTTTCTGCGGATGGTACATCCTATATACAGACAATGTCAGTCGCTGGATTAAGGGGTTGGGCAGGAATTTTTCCCATCTGGCAAATTGGCTCTGCCATTTGGGTTTTCACCTACCTCATAGCAATCATCACAACTTTGTAAAGCGGATAGGCATCGGGTAAGCCTAGTCTTGGTTGGAGGGGAGGTTGTAGCCTCCACCTGCCCCTCCATGAGAAAGGTTATCCTGTTAAAAGGATCTGGGAGGAGTGGCTCTGTCCACCCAGATGGGGCCTAGGGCCATACCACTCCTCCAGTGGGGACCGCTTGGGGGAACACCCTGATTCGCCATAGGTCATATGGTGCCCCCCGGCTTCACCCTTAGAAACACTCCCAGTGGACGGGTGGGAGTGACATGCACAGTTGCTTACCTCTATGTCTATGGTCAAACCAATAAAGTTGTGGCCTTAATTGATCCCAAAACCCAATATGCCATGTCTTGTCTGGTTATTTGCATTTTAGGGATCAGGGTGGTCATGGGGCCTTTCCACACAAAGCAAAATTTGCCATTCTTCCTATGGAGAACCATCTGAGAAATTTTGGAATAAGCCAAAAGGCTAGTAATAAGATTAGTCAAATTTCTCCAATGGATTTCATGCATCTAATGAAATTTACAGATACTAAAGAAATCTCCCCAGATACTAAAGAACTCTCCCCAGAACTAAGGCAAATTTGGAGTTCCTGCTTGAGCAGACTTGAAAAGAAAGAAAGAAAGAAGTTTACTAATAAACATATACACTACAAGTGCAGACTCATGCTTCATAGTCACAGGGACTTTGCATTCAGCTTGAGCCAAAACATTTATATTGTTTCAGGAGTATGCAGTTATCAACATCACTCTGATAAGTCTTTAACTTATCACAATATGTTCCCACTGAGCCATTTGCCAATCTCTAACACTTTGTTATCACCATTAATTATTTGATTGTCTCCCTCTTGTGAAATATCACCTTTCTGTTTGTATAAGCTCAACACTCCACTCGCTTCATTGCTCTCTTTATAGTCATGTTGCATACATAGCTGGAGTAAATAATCCATTGTTTTAATCAAAAGGCTATTAAGCCTCCTGCAATGGCAGCAAGTTCATGGAGCATGTCAGAGGACTAAGCAAGCCTGCAGATCTTCTCCAAGAATTTAATTTGTACTTCTGTGAAGTTCTGAGTAGACATCAGTACGATCATTTTCTCTCCAGGGGTGTATTAAGGAAATATATGTGTCATGGGAGTTTGCGTTAATTGTTTCCCACAGGAGATGCAGGCAAGTCATTAAATTCTGTGGAGTTTCTAATGTCACTCTTAATTTGATCAAGTATTATGGGATCTTTGAGGAAATCAGTATTTAGTGTTCAGCAAGGCTGAATTGAGAGTTGATGTTTCTGGTGCATAGGTTTTACGAAATTACTTCGAGGATTATTGCAGTAAATCATTGAAACTGTCATCAGTAGCACATGATCATCATTTGGAAAAGTCAGGTTGACATAATAAGATGAATAAGAAGACAACGTTCTCAGTGCCGTGAAACATATCGTGTAGATTCCATCTGCCATGCATTGCACTGAGAATAATACTGTGCTGACTACAGCACTGTGAAATGTAGAGCTTTTGTAGCAAAACCCACAACATATCATGCAGGTTAAGCAAATCTGATCATTTCCTTCTGCAATGAATGGGTGTGGGTGTGTGGGATGGAATTAACATGGCAGAAGCTGGAAATATCAGGAAACAATACTGACAATCATTAATTAGTTGATCCTATTCTCAAGATCTCTCATGAATGGGCAGCTCAACACTAGCACTTGAAGGAGAAACCAGGGTCCAGTTCCTACTAAGGTGATTAACCTGCTGGGCTGAATTGTTTCCCATTGCAGGTTGACTAAATGCTGGATTTCATGAATCTATGTTAGTCATGTTCATTAACATCAATGGCCCTACTCTGAGTAGGACTTAATTGAATGCCACTAGAAATGAGGGCAGCTTCAGAAGAAATATTCACCCATGTAAGCCCTCTATGAAGCTGGGTTTCTAGTTCAGGAGAACACCATTGCTCCAAATTGGAAGCCCCAAATCTGGGATAAATTTCAGTTGACATAGAATTGGTGGCATCTCTAGGATTCCATGCTAAAATAACTGGGAAAATGAGCTTTGTTTTGATGACTTTAAAAATAATGTGGTAACTAGGCCTGGAAATCAACCAAGTTATAATCGATTGCAAGACACAAGACCCATCTGACAAATATTCTGACCTTGTCTGCATGCTGAAATTTGCCCCCTCCCTAGTCAGTGGCTATACAAAAAGAAGATAGCACAAGACACTCTCTCAGCTAATATGGAAAAGAAACTTATATCTCTTACCTCATTCCCTCAGTCAGGCAGTCAGGAAAAAAATGGGTGAGTTGCATGGTAACAGATGTCAAAATTAAATAAGATTGAAAATCACAAACATCTCTTCCTGCAATTCAAGGAACATTATTCAAAGAACACAATAGAAACGGAACTAGAATGAAATTTCACCAAGTTTTTGGAGCAAATCCATGTCATCTCTGAATAGCGTCTCTCTCCCATAACCTAAGACTTTGACTCTTGCTTCTTTTCTTTTGTTCTGATTGGCTGCTGTGCTCGTCATCTTGCTAGTACCCACTACTGTACATCCACTCTCTTATCATGCTATTTCTCTTGTCACTCTCTTGTCATATTTTTCAACACCTCAGCTGAGCCCTTGTTTCACTTAAACTCATTCTCCATAATTAGATTGGAAGCTCTTTCCAGGGAGGGATCTGCCTCTTTTGCTTATGTAACTTGGCAATGTACACCGAGACTGCTCTCTAAATCATTAATAACCTTTTCCTCTCTTTCACATTCATGAAAAGGGAACACTCAACATAAATGAAAGTCTGAAAAGTCAAAGCCCGAAAGAAGGAAATGTTACAATATGGATGCAATGCAGCTGCAAATTGCTAGCTTGAAAACATCACATGATGGAATGTTGGGACTGTTCCGTGGGAAACAGAGGGACAGTCAATTCACAGTGCGAAGCACTGGAATTAGCTCAGAGTGTAATTTGAGCTCTTCCTCTCGTTCCTGTACAGGAAGTACAGGAAGTGTTGGTCTCTTGACTGCTGGAGCTTGAAGAGAGCAGTCATGTTTTTTGTAACGCTGCAAAGACAGAAATAAAGGTATGTAAATACGTTTCTGTCTATCTCTTTCCCCTGCCGGGGGGGCAGGAAAGAGGGGGGGTGTTCTTCTCACGCTGAGAAGAATCGCCTATCGCGACCTAGCCTGGATCTTGCTGGGGAATGCAGACAGGGAGGTCAACAGGAGATCAAGCCGGGTGCCTGGAGAGTTGCCAGTTACTACTGATATAGGCTTGAATTCCGACAGGAAATATGTTAACAGAGAAAACAAGAAGGAATCCAACATTGCCTGGGGACATCCATCAGGCTATGCTAGATCTCACCTCATCTACTTCTGGCCCACAAACAGGACCATCTCCTTATAGAACCATAGGGACAGATGACATGAGACCTAGCACACCTTAGAGAACTCTAGTGCATGGCAGCATCACCACAACCTTACATTTCTGACATAGGATGTGAGCATAGTATGTCCTGTGGATGTTTGGCCTTCTTTACTCTGCCTATATGATGGCAGAGGTGGTATTTTGTCTGCCCCTGGCAGAAATGTTCAGAGTTACAACAATTAATGTTAGGAAAATTGAGATGGGTACTAACTGAGCACTAAGATGGCCTTGGTAGTCCACAGGCCTGGTCTTCCTGTTATATACCTGCTGGGATTGATAAGGCATCTGACCCTCACCTGAATCTCATAGCTCTCCTGACAAGTGCTTTGGTCTGCAGCCACAGTGTGGATATAAAGGATGAGATTGCCCACCAGATACCAGACACTTTACTATTCAAATTAGGCCCCAGTGTTTTTGTTACAATCCCCTTCTCAATAAAGTGATCAATTTTAATCTAGAATTTAAATTCTCAAAACTTTCTTATTTGTTAAATCGAGCAAGTAAACTACTGCTCTCACTTCATTACAAACAGTATTTCTACCTGCAACAC